AGCTGGGAAGGCAAGTATTTAGCTTTTCCAACCTTTCTAGAGGAAGCAGGTGGCGAAGAGGGTTATGAATGGCCGCAGGGTCAGCCAAACAGCAGTGTCTGGTATATGAAGGAACTTCAAAAATTCATGGAAACATTCCCATTATCTTTTAATTCCATTTTTCCATGAACTTTTTGAAGTGCCCTCATGTTTGGTAATACTGGGCCTGTACTACACAATGGCAACTCAGGCAGAAGAAAGACTAGCTGTCTCCTACAGACACTCTCAGCTTGTCGTGATTGCCAGTGGCCACTTCTCTCACTTATGCCACCTCCCTGGCCCCTGCGGGCACATGAGGGGGCCTCCCCTGCATGAGATGATACTCAGCTTGCTTCCCCTCGGTCATGCGGAGGCTCTGGGGCATCAAAGCTTATGACGGACAGAACCTCCACCCTGCTCCATCCCTCTTGCTGGGTGCTACTATGCCTTAGAGGAAAGTGGGGAAGACAGGGCTCTGGAGGTCAGGGAGTTTCCCAGGAAGACCATCAATGTGTCTTGCCTCTCTCCCTGCCTGTCCATGTCAACTCCCTCCTCTTCTCCCTGGATGGTCCAGTTGGCTTTCGGAAGAACCGGAAGAGGCACAATGAACCCCAGGAGGGTAGGTGGACTTGTCAGAAATCTCCTGGGAGCCTTTGCGGGATAAGCTACTCCTTGCCTGGTGTTCCCTGGGTCACCTGGTCACGCCCCCATGCACAGCTTGTGGGTCTTAACCAGTCTGCAGGGGAACCCCTTTTGTAAGCTTGTCTGTCAGCCACGTACCACACAGAAAAGCCCTGCAGTAGCCCCTGGCATCCCACCTGGGATGGGGACCTCATTTCTGCTCCTTTTCTAGACCTCAGGAAGGAGCTGATGGACTTCCGGATGATGCTGAAAAAGAGGTGGGTCCATACTTGTCCGTGTGGGATTTTGGAGGCTCCCATGGTGCCCACCCCTTGCTATTTCCCTAAGCAAGCTGGGCTCAGCCCTCGCCTCCACCCTCCAACACAGGCAGGGGCTGGACTGCCGGTAGCAGGTGGGGGATGGAAAGGGCACTGAACTGGGAGTTCTGGATCCAGCTCTGCCACTCTAAAGCTCTGTATTCCTGAGTTTGCATCTTTCCTCTCCTGATCCTGATTTCCTTATTTGCAAAATGGAGTGGTCCACTAGAACAGTGGTTTAAAACAATTTTTTAAAGCAATAGAACAATTCAACTCCCTCCCCTGCCCACTGTCATGATATTTTATTCAGAAATCTATGATACAAGTTATTAGGAGAAAAGTTTATCCTAAGACCTGGAGCTGTGGGATGAGGGTCTCCCTGTCAGTCCCAACAGTGGTTGGTCCCAGAGATTCCAGTCTCTGTCTACTTCTTCAAGTGCAGATAGGGCAGCTCTTCAGGACTCCTCAGGGCACCAGGTGGCCAACACCTGGGGCTCCTCTGGCCTTTGACCTGCTGGCTCTCTTCCCAGGGCCCCGCCTCCAACCCCTCCAAAAAAGATTGACCTCGAGCAGGTGTGGCAGTTGCTGATGACAGCAGACCGGAAGGACTACGAGCGGATCTGCATGAAGTATGGCATTGTCGATTTCCGGGGCATGCTGCGCAAGCTGCAGGCGATGAAGAAGGAGAGGGAGGACAAGATGGCACAGGTACCTCTGCCCTGCTCGCCCCCCTCACACCTGGAGCTGGGCTTAGAGACAAGCCATGGGAAACCAAGTATGGCCAAGGGACCCGCCTCCATCTAGCCCTGCAGTGGGGTGTTCAGCTAAGGACCCAGGCTTCTATGCTGGTGCCCTGGCTTTGAAACCTGGTTCTGATACTTACTGAACTGTGGGGCTTTGGGAAAGGCAGGGCCTCCGTGTCTTGGTTTTCTCATCCATAAAATGGGGATTATAGTCATACCTGACTCACAGGGTTATTGAGAGGATGAATGAGAGAATGTACTTAAAGCACTTAGCCTAGTGCCTGACAGATAGTAAGGGCTTAATGTCACCTGTTATCATCATTGTCGTCGTCATCACCACCAGACACGGAGTACCTGTCTTATTTCTAAAGGCTTCCAGAGAAGGTAATGTCACAGTTTCCATTAGCAGTCTGATTCCAGCTTCTTATAAACTGTATAGGAAGTTCTTTTCTTAACTATAGTGTAAGTCTCAATTTTCTTCTGGAAATGGAAAACAACTAGTTTTTATTATCCTGAATATGGTATTTCATTATCTTGAAGGTGGTTCCTAAAACCTCCCACCTTGAGTCTCAGCTTTCTTTCCTCTAAGCTTTTTTATCTGCTTTAACTCAGGACCCAGCACAGAGCTTTGCATACAGTACGTGCCCAGCTAACATTTATTAGATGGAAAAACAGATGAATGGAAAAGACTTACTATGTTCTTGGAGCACCTGGACACCTGGGATCCTTTCCGGGTTGCGTTCCTGACCTGATCTCTCGTGTCGGAGAATTTCCTTCCTTGTGGGGCTTGCGTCTCCCCACTTGTAGAACAGGGAAATGCATGCTCACTTGGGACATTGTGGGCTTAAGACAGTATCAGGGCCTAGAAAGGGTTAGAGTGTCCTGAAGAAAGAGGTGCGAGAGATCCCCTGATGGGTTCGTCTTCTCTTCAGTATATTAGCATCATCTCCAACTTGAGACACATCAGGGTCACCAAGGAGGGGACTGCAATGTTTGACTTGGAGCTGCATCTCAAGAATCCTGGGAGCAAGATTTACCTGTATAAAGTGAGTCTGGAGGCGCATGGGTGCGGGGGAGGACCTGGCAGGAATGCTACAGGTCCTGGGGAGAAAACTCTGGGCCCCCTGGGTCTCCTTGTGGGAACAACCAGAGTACACAGGTGTGAGACCCTCATCCCATGCAGTTCTCGGTTGGAGTCAGGTCAAACCATGGTGAAGACAGTCTGCGGGGACTCTTTCCTCTCCTTTAGCAACCAGGCTCTCCAGCTGGGCCTGTGACTCGGAAAACTGTGTCTAACACCACAGCGTGGGGGTAAAAAGAGGGCACCGAGAAAGTGCACCCCCTTCCATCTGAGCTCTCTCTCCAGGAGCTGGACATGTCTTTCCATAGGCTCCAGGATTAACTACCTGTCAACCAGGTGGGGGCAGGGACAGTGTGTATGTGGGTCGGGGGTCACAGCAAAGCCTAACACTAGTTCTGCAGCCAAACTCCTCCCGGACCCATTACTTACAAGCTGTGTGACCTCAGACAAGATACTTAGCTTCCCTGTGCT